CTTAACAGAATATTTTGTAATTTTGTTTGCCATATGTTCCAAATTTACATTCGAAAATATCGTCAATACTTAAAAAATGCAGCATATTAACTATTTCAACTAATAATAACGTTTTTTTTTAATCATAGTTTGATAAAAAAGCGTAAAGATAAAATTAAGAAGTTTGAAATGACCAATGCCATTTATAAAATACAATGTAAAAATTTTTCTGCACTTTATGTTGGTGAAACAAAGAGAATGGTGGGGATACGTATCAACGAACATAAGAATTCAAAGGTCGGTGTTTGTATTACTCGTAAAACATTTACTTCAACATTATTTTGATTGGGAGAATTTTTCGATACTTCACAAAGAAACAGACAATTGAGAGTAAACGGCTATAATATCAATGATGGGAAATATTTTTGATTTTCATGTAATTGTTACAATTGTACCTTGATTTTCCTTATTTATTGTAAATAGGTTAATGACCTCGTCTTCTACCTCATTCTTGCCATTATCTTATAATATTTTGTATCTGATTAGTGTCTAATAGTACGTCGTGTTGCGTTGATAAGAATGTTTGATAATTTTCCAATTTTTAAATGTTATTTTAATAATTAATTGTTCTATTCTTTTATTGGTAATAATAATTCTTATTTATCCTTATAAATAAAATTACACTTCTGTCTGTACATTGCTTAAATCTTTAAAATTTAAATATAAAAAGCTAACCCATTTTCATAATAAAATTAAAAAATAAAATATACTAAATTCGAATTTATACAGCCAAAACCACATTTTTATTTTTAAAAAATTTTAGGGTTTCGTATACCGTATGTGTACCCGGAACCCTAATTAAAATATTGTGAATAATAATCATCGGAATAGACATGAGATTAAATTTGTTTTAAAAATAATACATAGGTAATTGGTAATAATAAAAGGAATACAAACTTTCGGAAGTTGATTATATAGAAACAAAATTATTTGATAGTCTATTATTAACAGATTTTTGAGATACAACATAAGACCGGAATCTTAAATTCTTTTGAATAAATTTTAAAGGATAATTATTTTCACGCAGATTAAAAATAACCTTTTTTATATTTTCTTTATGAAGAGATGCATGAGACAATAAAATAGCTCTGTCATACAAATTCAATTGAATGACTCGAAAAATAATTTATTAATCGGTTAGAAGAAATAAATTTTTGAAACCAATTAGTAATAATTTGATTATTATTTCTTCTATAAGAGATTAATAAATTATTTTTTGAGTCATTCAATTGTTAAAAGTTTCTTTACCGAATTAATTTATTTATCCTTTCAAAAATAATTGGTAGGTATTTATTAAAAAGATTGTTAATAAAAACTGTAGTTTCTGCAAAAAACGGCTGTACCGTCGAAATGTAAAAGATTTTATACGTATTGATTCTTCATCCCAACACGACTCTTTTGAATAAGAGTGCTAACAGTTAACTACAACTTATTGCGCAGTCATAAATGTTATTGACAATTTTTTCAAAATTATGGTTAATATATAGGGTGAATTCAAAAATTCACTGAAAAATTTAAAAAATAGTTGCAAAAATCAATTTAAGGTAATTTTATTTGAAATGCATTGTTTCTGGCTTATAATCACAGAAGTATTATATGTAAACGAAATTACTACAAAGTTTAGAACTTTTAAACTATTAACTGTAATCCCAGTATCACTTTAAAAACAATGCTTTCAAAATTTTTTTTATCAAAATTTAACGATGTCTCTGTTAGAAACAAACGCGTTTAGTTATACACGTCCTAACATAACCAAAAACTTCGTCTTCATAAACAATGAAAATAACCTGAAGCATTCAGTCCTGCGAAATAATGCACAAGAATTTCCCTATGGTGGGTGGTGGCCACCTTAGGGCCCTCTACCCTAATTTATTAATGTTCATTAATAATATAATAATATAATCTAAGCTTACACTGAGAGAAATGGATGGTAAGATTTTAATGGTGTTAATTCTAATGATGGTAAGATCATTGTGCTACTGGGTACCATTAAAGATATTAGAAAAATATTGTTATGGTACCCACTACAATCAAGATTCAATATGTTATTCATTGTCAGTACAGTCTGGATTGTAACCGATACAATCTAGATAGCTGTCCATATTTGTAGCATTAAAGATGGGTACAATCATTATTATGTTACCCTGTAACATAATTTTCTCTCAGTTTATAGTTTACAGTCGGAAGTGCCATGAAATCTAATAAAGGCATAAAGAAAATATTCTACGCACTTAGTTGATTTTAATTTCTGTTAGTAGGATCCTAATAGATCCTAATGAAAATATAATTTGTAAACTTTTATCAACTTCCTTATATGAGCTTTAATAAAGCTAATTAAAATCTTGTCGACAAATAAGTTTCTAAATGTGCATCCTGCTTAAAATTACAGAAATTTATAATTTAATTTTTAGTCAATAGAATATCCTACCACATTATATACTAGAATAAGGTATCCTGATTCGCTTTAACACCAGCCGCATAGGAATCTAATAGAGGCATGTAAAGACCTTCTGTTTAACGTTGATGGAAATTATTTAAGTTTTTAAAATCGTAATACATACCCTCAAGAAAAATGTGCAATTTCAAATTATTAGTTATTATTTGTATCCAAATAGAGCCAATTACCCAGGTGCGAATTTAGGTTGTTGGTCAGAGTTTGAAGGTAGGCCCAAGGCTGGCCTAACTTTGTCATACAAACTTTCGGTTGCCAAAGTTTGCCCAACTTTGTAGTTAAAAAGACTTACTGAATTTTCACAGGACAAGTTGTCCAGAAGTCAGAAAATTTTTAGTTGGCCAAACCCTGGACAATGATGGGCTTGACTGTTACCAAAACTCCGAAGAATTTTGTTTAAGAGATTTAAAATTTTCGGTTGGCCTAACACTTGGTCGAATGTGTATTGTGTTTTTAAAATTCGAATAGTTCGCAGAGTCTTAGACGGAGTGAGAAATTCAAATATTTATTAAATTGAAAGAGAATTGGGAAACTAGGTACAAAGTTTGTAAGGGAAGTGGGAGCTCCTTATACTACTTCGTGATTAACTTGTATACCGACAGGACTTGACAAATTTTCATCTATAAAATCCTAAAATGTTCTTGTATTTTAAACATTCTATTCACTAGAGCTTATATTTAGGCTTCCTGGAGGTCTAAAGGTTAAGGGTTCGATCCCAGCAAGCGTTAGATATTTTTGAAAATGTATGTAGGCGATTGTTTTCTAATAATAGGTGAGGTATATATAATGCCCCTGATAGTCATAATGTGTTAATTATTATATAAATAATTAAATTTTTTTATTACTTTTTTGGGTTGGTGAAATATTGCAGCAAGGTTTAAGAGTAAGCTTGCAAAATAATTAAAAATTTCTTGTTTTTTTAAATACATTACAAATTTTATTAATTCTATTACTGTCCAAAAATACTTTTAAAGAAATATGAAAAAGAAAAAAGTTATAGCAATTTTTATAACCGTGTCTTATCTCACTGCAATACGTTACGAAAACTTTTAAAGCGTTTTTCTCGAAAACACATTTTTGAAACGGAGAGACACTTTTCTCGAAATCTACTGAACCGATTTTAAAAAACCAAAAACCATTCGATTCTTTATCTAAAAGACAAGACAACACACCTTTGAAAATTTACATTTTTACCTCCTGTCATTTTCTACCAAAAAACACAGCATTTTTGAGAAAAATGTGTATAAAAAAGTGAAAAACATTTGAGAAAATAGTTTTTTACAGGAAAATATGAAAGTGTACGAAAAATGAGTAAAATTTAAGATTTTTAATAATTTATAAAAATTACAATTATATCCTTACCTGAATTCAATTACTATTTTCTACAATTTTCAACTAAACTTCATCTTTAAATCAATTATTGGAAATAATTTTCCGAACGTTCTTCTGTAATTCAATTATTTAAATAAAAAAACTCAATTTTTTATAATAATATTGTAACTGTCCGTGTTTTTTTAGTTATTAAGATATTACATTTTCGAAAAATTATATATAAAAGAAATTCTTACAATTATGTAATTTTTTAAAAATATTTTTAAATAATTTTTGGAAGACAGTAGTTTTTTAATTATATAGAATTGAAAAATTTCCAAACAATTGAAATTTGGTAAAATCTTTTAAAAATAATCAAATTTTGGAAAGAATTTTAATTATAAATATGATCATGATTTCTCCTAAATTTTAATAAATTTTTATTTATTTTGTTCCAAGGCAATTGCCTGATTTTACAACATCGATTAAATCTTTTTGGAGATTTGGATAAAGTTGGAGTTCAATATTTTTAACAATGTATCCGAACTTTAAAAAATTTTTGTTTTAAAAAAATAAATTGAGATAATATTAGAAGAGGACTTTTCCTCTAAATATGAGATTACTTTTTTCTGGATGCACATTGTCGTTAATTTTTTTATATTTTATTATAAATATAATTATAGCTGTTCTTATTCTTAGAGTTTTATAAAACATGTAAATTATGAAAAAACTTAATATTAAATTTCTAAACTTTTCTCTATTTTCTCTTTAATAATTGTATTTAATCTGTAACTTTTTATGATGTTTGATCTGACATCTTATCACTTTACTACTTCCTCATTTGTAAATAGATGTTAAATTATAATGTAAATATAATTAAAAATTTCACAGTAATTTAAAGTTTAAATATAAGATAATCTTGAAAAGGTATAAAATTAAAAATTTTAACTTCTGTGGAACCCTATTATAATTTGAAACCCTTTGAAGAAAGAGTGTGTAATTAAAAATTGGAAGAAACATTTTTTTGATATGCTTCAGAGACCTTCACCAATTCCCAACCCTATAGCTGTCTGTCTAGAAGTGTAAAATGACGGTATCTTTAATGCACAATGCACACACTATAGTATATGGTGTGTAGGGGAGAAATCAATAACGATGTTGAATTTGATTAAGAAGCAAGTGAAGAAAAAAAAATTACCCTGCAGCATGTTGTGGTCAGCGTCCTCATCCACGAGACAGTGGAGTCTGTCTATTGTTGGTGATAGCAAACTCATCCCGACGATTAATTTTTCACAGGTTTCAATGGAGTAAATTATTAGAAAAATTATCAAGTCCCAGTTAGCAGGACTATCGTCAAGTGAAAGAAAACTGACAGCTTGGCTGCTTGGCGATCTAATTAGTAATGCACGGCGCCCACAAACATTGACAGTTCAAATCATAACAAATCCCTTTTATTATGATTGTTTCACACTTTAGGCTCTGCAGCACTTTTTAATCGGTTTTCAAGAAAATTGATTTACGACGTTCGGTATTCATGGATCCTTAGAAATTGTGGAATCTGAAGAAACAGATTTACTTTCACTTTACTTGTTTGATAATTTTATCTCAAGAGCTGAGCCTCGTTTCCATTGATGGTTTGAAACAGTTCACAGAGGCGTGAATTCTTTTTCATTTTTTAGTTTGAAGCGATTGTCCAGATGTTGGATATTGGTTGTATGAATGTTATCTTGGCACGGGAATTCTGCTATCACAAACACTAGCACTGTCACCACTGTGACGACATAATACAGAAGATGCTTTGCCTTGCCCCGTCCCGTCAACGCGGTGTGTAGAGGACGACGCATGGCGCGTGCGAGTCGCTCCTTTGCTCCGCGAATGTCGCGAGCGACAATCAATAAAACAGCTGCGCGACTGCGCTTCGCGGCTTGAAGGCAACAGTACGAACAATACCAAATGATTAATGTATGCAATGTCTCATTTGGCAACAAACTTATTTTATATTCATATAAAACGCATGCCTCGCATAATATAAATTTTTCATTTCATTTCATTTATTTCATTTATGCAATCATCAGAGACGTGTCAAAGAAAAATGCTTGAAAAATGCATTACTATACACATTTCAGCAACTGCTTTACTCCTGAAAGGAACAGCAGATCATACATCTACATCACTCACATTGAATCTTTGCATCATTAACATTAAAACAAAAGAAGAAGAAGAAGAAGAACATCATTGACCTCTGATCGTTTAGAAGAAAATATTTATTTTTAATTGAATAGTTTAATTATTCCATCATTTTTAAGTCCAAATCTTGATCTTCTCTGGTCCCTCATCATTTCATCTTTATAATAATTCTTATATGCTCTTTACGTTTTTCACATACAGAATTACTTTTAGATAACCGACAACAGAGGTTCAAAAAACCGCTGCCAAGTTAAAAGTTGAATTTATTATGTTCATTTTATTACATTAAGCACTTCTGCTTTTAAAAAATTATATCTCCGGTTAATATGGACGAAAAATGTTAAATAATAGCTCAAAAGATGAGTCAAAAATCTACAAAATTAGGGAAAAACATTTATAGGTGTCTTAACATTTTTTTAAAGTTGTGGACATAAAACTTTTTTTTCAAAATTAAAAATAAAAATACAGTAAACTTTGTTAATCTGTCTCAAAGTTCTCTCATTTTATGTCGGCACGTGAGACCTATAATTTAAAAAAAATTCATCCCCAAAGCTCTTCATAACACACACACACACACATAAAGAATGATATTTTTGAATTCCTGAGGTCAAATAACATAAAGATATGCCAAAAAATCGAATTTGAAAAATTTTGGTATTACAATACTTCCTCATGAGGAAGCAACAATAAAAATTAAGTAGCTATAGTATACTTTAATAAAACATAAAAAGAAATTTGTTAAATTGTAATTTCTAAAAACTTTCTACAAATGACATTTAAATATTATTCAACCTCACAATCAGTATAATCAGCAGAGATAACCACAAATAGTTACTCGTAATTTAACATTTTGTAACATATTGGAGATTAATAGCATTAATTAAACTGCTGAATAAAACATTTTAGAAAAAAATTAAAAGATATATATATTTTTAATTAGATATTTTAAATAAACTAAACATTTGTTTACTACATTAAATAGAAACTTTCCATATATCGTTACAGAACTATTACAATTTAACTTATCCAATTAGATAAGTTAAATTGTAATAGTTAATTAATACACATACATACAAAATTTTCCTCTAATTCTGAGACGCATGATTATTCCCCAAATATCATTTTAACGAAATGTCACTTTTGCGAATCGCCATTTTTACGAATTGACACTCTTGCGAAATATCATTCTTACGAATTGTCATTTTAACGAATCGTTATTGTTCCAAAATGGCATTTTTACGAAATGGCACTTTTGTGAATCGACATTTTTACGAATTGTCACTTTTTCGAAATGTCATTTTTTCGAATTGTCATTTTTACGAATTGCCATTTATGCGAAATGACATTTTTTCGAATTGTCATTTTTACGAAATGTCACTGTTGCGAATTGTCATTTTTGCGAAAATTCCTATAGTAGACTTGTATGCATATTATATTTTCTACAGCAATTTTCGCAAAAATGACAATTCGTAACAGTGACATTTCGTAAAAATGACAATTCGCAAAAATGTTTTTTTGCAAAAGTGACAATTCGCAACAGTGACATTTCGTAAAAATGACAATTCGTAAAATAGATATTTCGAAAAAATGACTTTTCGCAAAAGTGTCAATTCGTAAAAACGGCGATTCGTAAAACTGACATTTCGTTAAAATAACAGTTCGGATAAATGCAATTCGGTAAAATGACAATTTAGGCAAATGACATTTGAATATAGAACGGGTAAAGAAGTATCCAATAAAATTTAAATAAAAAATTTTTTTTTAAACTTGTCGAGTGCTAAACTGTTTGTGTGATTTATTAAAATTTTCAATTATCAGCCACAAAAATTTAATTTTGTTTTTCCCTGACAGTAAAAAATATTCTGATTCGCTATAAAAATGATTAGATACTCAAAAAATGTTTTAATAGAATTATTTGCTAATTTCTTTAATTACAAAATTATTCGAAAACATCAATGGTTTTGTTTAAAATGAATACTTAATCATTATTATATTTCCATAGAGTCCTTTTAGAATTTAACTTTTTCAAAGAAAAAATAATTCTACTGAATTGTTATAGTTAAAAGTATTAAAAATTCAAATTTTCAAAGATTTTAATTTGAAACCTTTTGAAAATTCAATTATTTCTAAAAATTCATGTTATAATGCTTCTAATATTCAATTATTATCTCAAACTTTAACTAAAATTCATTTTTAAATAAATTTTTATTAAAAAATTCTACTAGAATTAAATTATTTATAAATACAAAAATAAATAATTTATTGAATAGAATTTAATAAATTTTGTTAACCATCGGGAATGTTAGTTCTATATTAACAACCCAGAATAGTAAATACAATCCTTTTTTTTCCGTGTATTATTATCTCAACTGAAGAAGCATTTGAGAACCACTGGAGCCGAAGAAGCTCCTTAATGTGAGGAGCCTTCTCTTATCCGCAGGAGAAGGCAGATCTTTAAAAAATAATCAATTTCCATTCAAGAAATTAAAATTTTAGTACTAATATTATTTTCTGGACGAATATCGCTTAATCTATAGAATTTTCTAAAAAATAATTCCATTTTAATGTAATATTATGGCTTACTCTCTTTAGAAAAAGATTCTGCACAACTTCATCGTACGAATTTTTAAACAAGCACGCCGTTTCAAAAATATACAAAAATATACTTACATATTTGTTTAAAAAAATGTTGTCTTTTTTTAAACAACTAAGCATATTTTTAAAACGGCTTGCTTGTTTAAAAACCCGTACGATAAAGTTGTGGAGAAACATTTTCTAAAGAAAGTAAACAATATTACACTGAAAAAATAAATATTAAAGTATACGAATTAATAATAATTTTGGTAACTTTATTTTTTGTTTTGGAGAGTCGACAAAAAAGTTATAAATTTGGAAGAGTTATAGATTTCATATTTACTTTAATTTAATATTAATTTGTCATTTAGCATTATTTAAAAAAATTACACATAGAACATGACAAATGTTTATAGATACTTGTAAAACAAAAATTTTTTGTTTACAGAGAAATTAAATATATTCTTTGGGGACGTCCATTAATTACGTGAGGTGTTTTTTCTAAAATTTCGACCCCTCACGGAGAAAAATGGAAAATTAATGATAATTAAACTTATTATGAGGATTATAAATTTAACACTCCTCAGGTTAAGATCTAAACAGAAGAGTGTCAACTTTTTCAAGTTTGACACTCCTCATAGTAAATTTGATTATTCTTTTTTCTCAGTGCTCCCTCCCCTATGGTGAGATTTTTTTCTTCGAAATAAGAGAAAAAAATGATACTACATTTGGATGATTTTTCTTAAAGTGCTACTTTTGAACTTCAATTTTTCAATTTATTTTCTTTTAAATTATATAGTTTTTTCTATTGAAACTACTTTATTTCATACCCAAGAGTAAGATTTTTGAGTTGTGCAAAATTAGTTGTTAAAAATATTAAAGTTTTTCTTCTTTGAAGAAGATTGACTTTGTTGCTCCATTCGATTAATTTTTTTTGATTCGCAACTTTTTCTATATTAAAAATACACCCTAATATCGTTCACGTAATCCAAAATAAAATTACACTGCTTAAAAAATAATAATTTCCATATTTTAATACCAAATATATTCAGTTCGATTATATAAAATAAAAATCTAGTTGAAGTATCTGATTTGATGGTTATTTGGGTTAATTTTATCAAAACAATGCAGGTAAATACTAAAAAGAAAAGAAAAACTCGCACATTTCAATAAAAAGGCTTCGGAGATGAAAAGTAATTTTTTTTATTTAAGTACACTCGAATCTTGATGTAATGAGAAGTGAGGGATCCGAAAAACTCGATATTACGACTGCGTGAGGGGGCCCCACTCTTAAACAATTTATTTGTGCGAAGGTAAGTAACTGTAATTAATGTCATGTGAAAAAAACGATGCTCAAATGTTTTCAAATAGTGGGGATAAAAGAGGAGAAATATTTCTCGTTGTAACGAGAGTTGACAGTTCGTTGTATCAAGCGCTCGTTATATCAAGATTCGAGTGTATTCACATTAGGGCACAATTAAAATATATTTTTTAGTAAAATATACAAATTTCACATCGCAATTTTATATTATTATCGAAATATTCCGTTAAACTTACTTGTATATTCAATTATTTAATAAAAAGCAAGGCTTCGGAGATGTAATTTATTGAAATTTTATTCGGGACAATATGTAAAATTTGATTATTTATAAAAGCAATAATTCCCCTCCTTTTTATAAATTATATACATGAGGAAATTAAATATCAGATTCTCAGCTTTATTTTAATGTGCATTAAAATTTTGTTTAAGACATTTTTAATGTATAAAAATACTTTCTGACACTATATTTTTAAAAAATTTCTAAGAGCTTGAAAAGAACCATAAAAATTTAGTTTTCTTATATAGAAGTCCTATATAGGAGACATGTTAAAAAGGCTTCGGAGATGAAATTATTTTACTTATAGCATAAATTCAGTTAAATAAAATTGTTTAATTTCTCTTTAAAAATAATACGTAACTGCTAAATTTATACTATGGAAATTGATAATAATTATTAGAGAATAGATTTTGTAAAATTAATCAAAACATCAAAAATACCATTTCCAGAAGGAATCACCTATTTACAATAAAAACGCAAAAATGAGACAGATGCTGAA